GCAGCATCTTTGTGTTTCCAGTTCTCTCTGGGGTTCTTGGCGAATTCGGTCAACATCGAATTCACGTAGCCAGAGAAGATCGTAGTGACCGGCCCCTCAAAAAACTTACAGAGGCCTCTCACCAAGTCACAGGCTGCTCTGCGGCGAGTATCAATGTCTGCGGAGAACGTGGGAAAACAGTAAAGCTTGGGTTATACTTCAATACAACGTGAGACAGCGGGTTGGTGATTGCATCATTTCAGACATCTTTTTCCTGACCGAGTATACACGGGCTGAAGACGCAGCGGGCTATAAATTATAATTTCTCCCTCTGCCCTCCCACAGCTCATTCAAGTATTTAAACAACAATAATGATGGCTGGATATTGTGAGTTTTTTTCACTCAGTGTTGTGATGGGTAAAGACTCCACGAAGGAAAATCTTTTTTTTATTAACGGTGGTGATGGAAAAAAGACGTGAACATCAGCTGCTGTCAGCATCAATTTTGGTCAAATTTCAGTTTCTTCTTAGCAAAACTGCAAAAGTAGCTAATATTAAGTGTAGCAACGTGTTTTTAATTTGCATTAAGCCGATTAACTCTCTTATATATGGATAAAATACATAGCAGTGGGTGAAAATAAGTTTAGTAACTAAATCTTTCTAGTTAGTCTTGMCCATGTAAAAAACCTTTAAACAATGGGGGATATACTAAAATCCAGCAARGATTTTTCTTTGTTAAATACCATTTCAGTCATTTAGATATTCCAATCATCTCATTCAGCTGTAAAAGAAACTTTGTATTTGTCTTTTTGCTTTAACTTGTTTAAAACGTAAAATAAAAAAATAAAAAAAATAAAGTCCTGACCTGATCCTTCAAGATCTCTTCGAATGTATTCCTCTGAGTTATCTTCAAAAGCCTCCTCATCTGCACCTGATTAAACATGAGAAAATAATCTGCTCAGTGTCAGAAAACATGTAYGAGCACACCTGAAGGGACATAACAGATATCAGAATAAAAGTCAACAGATGCACACCAGATACTTACTTCTGAACTCCATGTTTGGAACAATGACCTTTTCACAAATACTAGTCAGAGTATTCTGATCCTCAAATAGATGCTTGTAATGTGGCCTTTCACAGACCGAGGCCAAAAACTGGATAGCATTGCTTACAAGCTGCAACAAAGAGTGGACCATTACTTTTTACATAAAGAGAGTAAAAAAACCTACTAAAAGCAAAATAAGCCTACAAGTCTCACCAGATCATATTTGACTTCCTGTCCAGTGGAGACTAAAAGATTCCAGATAGCAGTGACAAAGCGAGGCAGGTACGGCTGAAACTCCTCATCATACTTCTGAGCATAAAGAGCGGCGTTATCACAGATCTGAGACTTCAGCAGCTCCAGGAGTCCTGCCTCCTCTTCATCCTGAGGAAAACAGACAAGTCATCATCAAAGATGCAAATATATAAAAAAAAGGTAAAACACTATTTCACCTGCAGTTAAAAAAAGTACTGCAAGTATGAGGAGGAGGATAACACACGTCTGTTTGTAAAAGCTTGTTATCCAAAGTCAGGAGGCCGTGAAAATTGGTCATCCAGGTTTCCATGTTGTCTTCAAAAAACTCTGGAAGGTCCTGCATGAAAAGGCAGAGTACAAATCAACACAAACAGCATCAACAAAGTAAAAACAAAAGCTGGCGTAATGAATGCCTGTTCTGAAGGACAAATGCAGTTATCTTACAAAGTTTGAATCACAAGTTCAAACAATTTATATGAACGCAAACAAAGCAGGCATTTTTAGACAGCATTGATTTCAATGGAAAATGCAAAGAAACCAAACATACCTGGAAGTTAAGACTGTAGAAAAGCTTAGAAATGAGTGTGAGAGACGAGAAGAGAACCTTTAAGGCATTAACATCGTTGGAATGAGTCTGACACAACTCGATTGTTGCCTGAAACAGGAGGGGGGAAAAAAACTATTTTAATCTGCATTAAATCCTTAAACAACTCGTAACTCAGCTGTAAGACTACAATAAATAAATAAAAACCTTGAACAGCTCTGTCAGAGGTTGGGCAAACGTGTCCAATACAAGTTTAATCTCAGACCAAAGCTCGTTTGACTTGAACTCGTGACGATACCTAAAAAGTAAAATTATACAGAAAAGATGTTTAAATTCTCATTCAAAAGGTGCCAATAAGAAGCTCGACATTAAGATGTCTTTACCTCTTAAAGAGGGAATGTGCAGTCCGAAGCACTCCATTTATAATGTGGAAGTCCCCGCTCCTGAAGCGGGTCACCATCTCTGTCAGAAGGTCAGGCCATTTTTGAGGAAAGTCTTCTCTTCCTATGATGCTGATGGCGTCACTCAGCTGCAGAAATACAGCAGATTTGCAAACATGTTAAATATTTCTGCACAGCTTCAAAATAAGTCTGTTAYACCATGGCGAGATGTGAGGCTGTACCTGTTTTTGAATCTGTTCTGGGCTGTTTAGCATCAAATTTATAATGTTTGCTTTAATTGCTGTTCGGTCTGCATCAGAAATTTTGTTTGGTTCATCTTCGACCTTTAAGAAACAAAACCATTAATGTAAAATATTAACAAATGATCTGGATCAAATGTTTAACATTCAGGATTTTTTTTGTTTTGTTTTGTTTTAGTTATAAACAATGATGGGTAATAATAGTTAACCGTAACTGAACCCCATGAAATGTAGATGCTCTATAAACCTGATTAACACATCTGAATAAAATATATTTACTATTAGTGTGACTCACAATCCGCCAGTTTCTTTTGACGTAGTTCTTGAATGTCACAGCAGCACAGACACGAATCACCGTGTCTTGAGATTTCTCCAGCAGAGTTAGAAGCAGCAGGGGATAATTCTGGTTTCCTTCAACATTTTCAAGAAACTTTTCAGCTGATAGGGGACAAAAAAAATCTCCCATTAAAAAACTAATTAATAGCTACCGTATTTATTCATGTATAATACAATCGAGTATAATACYATCATCATTTTTGAGCTTAAAAAGCCTAAAAAATCGAATCATCAATAACCTGTGRATAATACTACRCTCCTACTTTATGGATGATTTTTAGGGTTAAATTTATAGTATTATACATGAATAAGTACGTTAATACAATTAGGTCACGCAAGAAAATGCTCTGTCATTATAGACATACCAGGTCGTCTGACTGTCGGGTCTGGGTCCAAAGTTTTCCTCAAGAACTCTGTGAGGGTTTGTAGATTTGCATCATTCAGTTCCATGCTCCCAACTAAAGACAAAAACAAGATAAAACAAAAACAATAAAGAAATTGATGCTACCGATTGATGTTTTTTGGAAACAAAACAAGCATCGTATAAAACTGCCATATTTGAAAGATTAAAACTTTTTTAGAGAATGAAACCAAATCTTCCCATTTCAAAAACAGCCTYGATGAGATTTTCAGCTGCTCGTTTCTGAGCCTCCATACAGAAGTGTTGTGAGTGATGGGTTGGCACTGAAAGTGAACCAGTTTAAACACTTAAACTATTTCTTACAATTGTGAGATGAAATTTAGTCAAACCACTAGCGCCATCTTCCTCAATTTAATCTAATATAAAACCTAGAGCAAAGAAACAGTGCTTCTGTAATTTGTTACTAATATTTAATATTGAAACTTGCCTTTTTTTGAACACAGCAAAGAACTGTATTTAAATGTGAGGGTAAGTGTTCTTGTGTCTGCAACAATTTACAACACAGAATCTTGTCTGTTTTTGAAATATAGCTGTCTGTAGTTCACTGAATAGTAGCTTTCAGCTTAATACATTGACATGATGGAAGTAATACATTGCTAAAAGTTGTTTACTGCTAAAACAGCACGTGTAGTTCAACACTCAAACARTAGTGCAACAATTTTAAATGTAAAGTTAACAGTTCCTCTCGCTGTGAGTCAGTGACAGCTGCTAACAAAGATAAACTCTGCTACACCCCTGACAGTGATTCAGGCAGTGCTGGCTACACATAATAACAAGCTAGCAAGCTAGGCTTAAACATAAGCACATGGGCTGGATGCCARACGTAAGGAATAATGTTTAAATACAGTTGAAACTAGTTGTGTGCTTACTATGTCTGGCTTACTACAAAATGCACACTGAAAAGATGTGGAAAGCAATCCTCCAGTTCCAGTAAATAGACTGATCCAGCAACCCTCCGAYTCACCCAGCTATGTTAGCGCTAGCCTGCTGCTAGGAATATGTTAGTAGCTAACAACTAAGTTAGCTAATTTTTTTTCCATCATTGATTACGTATTTCCTCTGGCCTTCACAGAAGAGCCCAACTAAGAGACAGGAAACCTTTAAAAACTCAGGTTTATTGTAAAATTATTGAATGCCTTACCGAACAGTAACTACTTTCAGACAGAATGGGATGTAGAGCCAACACACACCGTAAAGCAGTGCTCGCCGCAGCAGCTTTCAAACGTCGTCTTGAGCAAAAGGAAATGCGCGGTCAGTATGTTGCGCATGCGCAGTATTGACTGGATACAGGTGTTGTACGAAATTCAGCTCCCCTGTGAAAATGTGTTCCCCCCTGTGTTGGGAGGGCTGGACCAGTGAGTACAACACCGGTGGCCCTCTTCTGTACGGAGCCCGCCGGGAGCCAGTGGTGAAAAAAGTAAAACAGCCYCTTCTAAACACCTCTCCTCACTCCTAGAACTTCAAAAGTTTATGATTAAGCAAAATGTGAAGATATTTAATTTGTATTTGTATTTGTACCACCACATATATCTGATGATGTCTTTATGCAAACCTCATATCTCAGTATTTTTACTTAATTTGCTCTGGGGGTCACCCCTATAGGGTTTTATCAGAAGAAAAACAATTCACAAACAAAAGCTGGCTCTCATCATTCAAGTGAACAAGCTGGAAAATTGAGCAGCAGCACAAAATTATTGGTGCGTTTTAACATTTAATGTGAAAGCTACATATTCTCTTTGTTAGTTGTATATTTTAAGTGAAGAATTTAAAAAAGAAGCACTCTGTTTATAAATCCCAGCCAAACTACATTTATCACATTTTTTTATTGTGAACCTATGAAAGCTTTCATCACAGATGAACAATCAAATATTGCACTGAACAAAAGATATGAAATGTAAAAAACCTAACAAAAAAAACTGCTTCAACACAGAAAGCGTCATAAATGAACACAAATATTTCATATTTCTTTTACACTGACAACAAACTGAAGACTTTTAGTGAGCTTAAACCTGTTCCTGTTGCACAGGATTGGTAACAGAGGCTCGTGACATCAACATGCTACAGGTTGTACATCTGACGGATGTTCAGGCTGTCTCGCAGCATCAGGTCACGGAGCCTCCAAAGTGCATCTGCCATGGWTTTGTGGGCCCCTTTGCTCTTCAGCCAATGGGATGGTAGCCTGCTTTCTTGCTCTTTAGTTAGGCGCACATCTTGTTTTTGAACTGAATGTGAGGAGGAAAAAAACAAACAAACAAACAAACAGCTAAAATATTTTATGGAGAAAAAAACAACAGCTTGACCATCGGATCGTTACCATTTTTTACTGATTTTATCACCAATCATGTAACAAAAAAAATTAATTAACCTGTGAGAGCTTGGTCCCATTTGCTGACTGTAGAAGATTCTGCGGTGAGGCCCTCGATGTATCTGAGGTAAGCCTCCGAGTGCAGCAGCCGCTGAGATGTGGCTGGAGGAGACACAAACAATGGCGTGGAGGGRTGATGAAGCGCAGCTTGGCCGTGTCCTGGGTACGGTGGTGGAGCCTGCTGGTCTGAGCCCGTCAAACCCAACTAATAAAAGCATGACGACAGTTAATACAAAACGAGTTGTGAAAGTCTCAATCTTCAAAAGCATATCTGCATTGGGGGACAAACGTGTTTAACATTTAATTTATTACTTTATTTAGTTTCTTAAGACAGAAACTCACTGATTACCTGGGATCCAAGGATGCTCCCTGCTGCAGCACCACTTCCCATTCCATTAACACCTGTGAGGATATTGACCATAAATGCATTTCACATAGTGTAGCTCACATTTTGCTGTTAGTTTTGATTTTAAATACTACTTTCAAACTATTATTGTGTAAACAAACACTCTGGGTATGGTAAAACATTCAGGAACGCCAATCACTGATATATTTTTGTTACTTTCTAGATAAATAGTAATGGTTATAATTTAAAAAGTTTATTCTTTTCTTTAATGCTAGTTGTAAAGTATTGTCAGCCACATAATACTACTAGAATTGAGTTAACAAGTGTCGTTGTCATAGTTGAGATGATGTTTTCTCAACTGCCCAGTCATAATTGCCAGGATCCCAGCCTAGTGATACAGGTAGCCCCTCCAGCAAGTCAGACAGGAAGCAACTGCGCAGCAGGTGGGGTTGGCGATGACAGCACTCTTACCAAAGGATGGCATTCCACGGAGCCCAAGCATAACGGGCAGGAGGTGTTGGGGAAAGGCAGGCACCCCCGTGGGATGTGGTGGCATGCCAACCGTACTAATCATGCCTTCAACATGGCCCTGCGGGTGCATCATAGCTGTCCTACATGCACCCATCAAACATTCTTTGGAAAGGACAGCAGTAACACAAAACAATAACATGCATCAGTCAAACATTCATCACTAKCAAGCATGCATTAAGATGGCGCAAGCAGTTAATTGCAATTTCATGACTACATGATAGCAATGGGGATTAAAAGGAAATTAAAGCCACACAAATTAAAAATGATCAGTAAAAACTATTTGATGGACAAGAAACCGAATCAGAACACAAGTTAAATATTAGCTCAAACACTCAAGCGATGCACAGCAGCATTTTACAACCCACTATAAAAAACTTTACTCTTCAGATTTTACTGCAGTGCAAGGGTTGAAACACGACGYCATCACTTGGGTTTTTAAAAGAAGCGACATGTTAGAGGACATATTAAAGTACAGAATGATGCGGCAACAATAAAACGAGCRGACGTGGAAAATGTGAGGAACTTTAGCAGTTCAGCTTCTCGTTCCAGCGTTCTTATGCACACTGGGGATCCATCTGCATCTACCAGGGGTTACCTGACACAGGTGTCATGCTGGGATTTAGCATCCCCATGGGGGTTGGGGGAGGCACCACCCCCATCAGCGCCCCTACTGGGGTACCTGCTCTCGGGGATGTGTGATGGTGGGCCCTGTCACGCTCCTGCTGCTCGGCTACCTTGGCTGCTCGCTCTGTAAGAAGCGCAGAGAAGTAAAAMGTACGGTCCAACACATTTAAAGTAAAATATTGTATAAATTCTGTCTATTTATGTGTGCTACCTTCATACTCTGCCTTCCTGGAACTGTCCAGGTTCCTCCACTCTGTGCCAACAAGACGGCTCAGGTCTCCAAAAGAGAAATCCGGGTGCTGGGCTTTGATGACGGCTCGCATCTCACTGCTGAACAGGATGTAACCGCTCATGTTGATCTTCCTTGTTGCTCTTTCCTTCTTTGAAAGCCCCTTTAATGACTTAGGGGTTGACTGTGTAACCAAACACGAGAAAACCACAGATGAAATTGCTAAAAGCTCTGACAGCTACAAGTGAACCGGTTTACATTGAGAATACTTTCACCCAGACCTGCGGAGGGGTGTAAGGCATAATATCCATGTCACTAGACATGGACGACTGCATCTGAGGAAGAGAATGATCTCTCAGGTCGCCGTCATCGTCCCCAAGATCCTCCAGCTCTTCGTCTGTCATGTCAGCAAACTTGGCTTCGAGCTCCTCGATTTTCTTGTCAAGTAGTGGCGATGGTTCTTTCTGGGGAACGATGAGTTTTCTGTGTACATAAAAAAAATTCATACAGAATTCAAAGAGAACTGGCTTCTATAAATTCTGAGCATTTAAAAATGAGAATAAAGATCAAACCAATGCCTGCTACTAAACCACATCACACTTTATCACAGTTTAGGCAAATAAACACCAACTGGTTACATTGTTTTTATGACATAAACACTTGAAGTGCAGGCTGTTTACCTAAAGTAGTAGATTTCATCCTCGACCACCTTCCCCGAGAGTGAAAATCGCTTAAGACCCTTGAACTTCTTCATCTGCTTTTCACTCTCTATGTAGCGACTCTCACAAAGAAGGACATTTGTTTCAGGCACTTCAGTGGGCCGACACGACAAATATTCTTTGAAGGAGGCCACAACGCACTTTCCTGTCAAAAAAAACATGCTCAGGTCATTTACTGAGTGATTTTGGCCACTTAGTCACAAACAACAGAAAAGTGCATGCAATAGTTTTGGAAGAAGGGTACCTAGTAGGAGTGTAAGAAAACAATGATTTACTGAAACATCGAGATGTTTGACGTCCTGGTACTGTATCGATTCATAAAAAGCACTGAATCAATTTTTAATTAAGGCGTAACGAAAACTATAAACTATTTCTGCCAGGACCCCCTTTGATAGATATTTTGTTTTCAAACTCCAAAGCAGTTTATTTCACACTTAAACTTGTTTTTTGAACTGAATTAATAAAAGAAAACTGAAATTCATTACAGGTTGCAATAAAATTAACTTCAACCTTTTTGTAATTATTTTAAGTGTAATTTTTGTTTTTTGTTTTTCCTGTGACAATATTCAACATCAATCAGTATGTTTTTAATGCCTCTGCACTGCATAAAATTTAATTTAATCAGATTTTATAAATGTGGTGTATATTCTCATGGTGTGCTCTTTATACTGAAGGTTTTTTTATTGGAATCTTTTGGAAAACAAATGGCAATATATCTCCTTGCTTACAATATTGCAATATATTGTAATATATCATACTGCGACCCCTGTGTTGTCATATGCATCATATCACCAAATCCTTGCCATTATACAACCCTAGTACCTAAGATGCAGGTCATGGGGCAAGTCTCRTCCAGGTTGCTGAGGAACACTTCTTTCTTGTAGAACATCTTAGTGGGTTCATGCTCTGTCTCCTCAGGATGGATAAAAATGGGGCCAAAGAAATAGCCTGCTCCATCTCGCATCCACATTTTCTCAATTCTGTTGAACGCAAACACAATTTAAAAAAAGATTCATTTTATGTATTGGACACAAGCAACAACAAAAACACCACAAAAGCTGTTAAAGGACWGGTATTTGTAGCATCTTGCAAAGTGTATTTTGCAACCGCACAGGTCTATACAGGTGGGATAATGCTGACAAAATGAAAATAATTTCTTCTACCTGCCCACACGGTGGCGCACTAGTCCATGAGAACCGATGTAAACACAGTCTCCTACTTTCAGCCACAGGTTGTTGTAGCAGAGCTGCTCATAGTACTGACAGCCTGGCTCCCCGTTGGTCACGTCCAGTGGAACATCCTCCCTCTCCTGTAGACAAAAGGGTTTGCAGGAAGAATTACCTCATTGCCCWGTAGGAATGGACTAATTGATCTAAGCGTCGATACTATCGATGTCAAGATGAGTATCAGATCGTATCGATGKTCGTGTGATGAGATRGATTCTTTTGTTTACACTTTATTTGTCATTTGGACAAACCGCAGTCGTATGGAGTTCATCATTACTCCTCTTCATTGTGCCAACGTGCAATGGAAGGTATTTTTTGTTGCATTATTGACATTGTTATAATTTTGTTACATTGTTGRTTCTTTTTTGTTATTTTTGCACTGGTGATTTTTTTTTCAAACTGTTTGTAGTAGAAGGAAATAGCGAAATTATTTTATTATTTTATAGTTGCGTTTTATTTTGTTGTAGTTAGTTAAAGGGGCAATATCATGTAAAAACCAACTTTTTTGAGTTATATATCATGTTATACTGTCATAAAAACATGCCCAAAGC